CATTTTCACAATGTTGAGTCTTCCTATCCATGAGCAAGGTGTGTTTTTCCCCTTAAGTAAGTCTCCTTCGGTTTCTTGCAGTAGTGTCTTGTAGTTTTCTTTGTAAAGGTCTTTTATGTCTCTGATAAGATTTATTCGTAAGTATTTTATCTTCTTGGGGATTGTTGTAAATGGTATTGATTTGGTGATTTCCTTTTCAAAGTTCTCTTTGTTGGTGTAGAGGAATCCAACTGATTTTTGTATGTTTGTCTTGTATCCTGATACTTTGCTGAAATCTATTAGTTCCAGTAGTGTTCTTGTGGATTCTTTGGGGTTTTCTGTGTATAAGATCATATCATCTGCAAATAGAGATACTGTTGCTTCTCACTTACCAATTTGGATGCCCTTTATTTCTTTCTCTAGCCTAATCGCTCTGGCTAGGACCTCTAGCACAAGGTTGAATAAGAATGGTGATAATGGGCATCCTTGTCTGTTCCTGTTGTCAAGGAGAATACTTTCAGACTCTCTCCATTTAGGGTGATGTTGGCTGTTGGCTTTATATAAATGCCCTTTATTATGTTGAGGGATTTCCCTTCTTTTGCTATTTTCCTGAGAGTTTTTATCATGAATGGTTTTAGACTTTGTCAGATAACTTTTCTGCATCAATTGATAAGATCATGTGGTGCTTGTCTTTTGTTTTATTTATGTGATGAATTACATTGATTGTTTTCCTTATGTTGATCCATTCCTGCATACCTGATATGAATCCCACTTGGTCATGGTGAATTATTTTTTGATATGTTGTTGAATTCTATTGGCTGAAATTTTGTTGAGAATTTTTGCATCTATGTTCATGAGGGATATTGGTCTATAATTTTCTTTCTTTGTGGTGTCTTTACCTGCTTTTGGTATCAGGGTTATGCTGGCTTTGTAGAATGAGTTTGGGAGTATTCCATCCTTTTCTATGCTCTGAAATACCTTTAGTAATAGTGGTGCTAACTCTTCTCTGAAAGTTTGGTAGAATTCTCCAGTAAAGCCGTCAGGGCCAGGGCTTTCTTTTGTTGTTGTTGGGAGTTTTTTAATTACCTTTTCAATGTCTTCTTTTGTTGTTCTACCTCTGTTTGTGTTAGATTAGGTAGGTAGTGAGTTTCTAGAAATATGTCCTTTTCCTGGAGGTTTTCAAATTTGTTAAAGTACAATTTTTCTTAGTATTCTGTTATGATTCTTTTAATTTCAGTTGGGTCTGTTGTGATATCACCCATCTCATTTTTTATTCAGGTTATTTGTTTCCTGTTCTGTTTTTTTGGTCAGTTTGGCCAGTGGTTTCTCGATTTTGTTGATCTTTTCAAAGAACCAGCTTTTGGTCTTGTTAACTCTTTCAATTGTTTTTCTATTCTCTATTTCATTTAATTCTGCTCTAATTCTTATTATTTCCTTTCTTCTGTTGCCTGAAGGCTTCTTTTGCTGCACTGTTTCTACTTGTTCAAGTTGTAAGGTTAATGTTTTGATTTTGTTCCTTTCTTCTATTTGGATGTGTGCATTTATTGCTATAAAATGACCTCTTGGCACTGCTTTTGCTGTGTCCCAAAGGTTCCGGTAGAATGTGTTTTCATTCTAATTTGAGAATTTCTTTATTCCATCCTCAATGTCTTCTATAACCCAGTAGTTTTTGAGCAACGTGTTGTTCAGTTTCCATGTGTTTGATTTTTTTTTCTTGTTTTCTCTGTTATTAATTTCTACTTTTATGGCTTTAGGTCAGAAAAGATGCTTTGCAATAATTCAATGCTTGGATTCTGTTAAGGCTTGCTTTATGGCCTAATATGTTGTCTATTCTGGAGAATGTTCTATGTGCATTGGAAAAGAAAGTAAACTTGGCTGCTGTTGCATGGAATGTTCGGTATGCATCTATGAGATCAAGTTGGTTGATTATGGCATTTAGATCTTCTGTGTCTTTACTGAGCTTCTTTCTGGATGTTCTGTCTTTCAGTGAAAGCGGTGTGTTGAAGTCTCCTACTATTATCTTGGAGATGTCTATATCACTTTTCAATGCTGTTAGAGTTTGTTTTATGTATTTTGGAGCCCTGTTGTTAGATGTGTAAATATTTATTATGGTTATGTCCCCCTGGTGTATTGACCCTTTAATTATTATATAGCGTCCTTCCTTATCCTTTGTGGTAGATTTTACTTTAAAGTCTATTTTGTCAGAGATTAATATTGTCACTCCTGCTCTTTTTTGGTTGTTGTTTTCTTAATATATTTTTTTCCATCCTTTCAGTTTTACTTTGTTTGTGTCTTCGAGTTTGAGATGTGTCTCTTCTAGACAGCATATAGACGGATCATTTTTTTTATCCATTCTGCCACTCTCTGTCTCTTTATTGGTGCGTTTAGTCCATTTACATTCAGTGTAATTATTGATAGGTATGAGTTTAGTGCTGTCATTTTGATTTTTTTGTGTATGTGTTGTTCACAGTTTCTTTGTTCCACTTAATTTTATGTGCTGAGTTGTTTTTCTTTATGTATTTTCATCTTTTTCATTGTTGTTGATTTTGTATTTGCTGAGTCTTTATATTTTTCTTGTTTTTTATTTTGACTTGTATGACTATTAGTTTCCTTTGTGGTTACCTTAATATTTACCCCTATTTTTCTAAGTTTATACCAGTCTTTTTTTTTTTAATCACCTTGACTTCCTCTCCATATGAAAAATCTATGTCTACGTTTTTAAGTCCCTCTTTTTTGTTTTAATGTTGTCATCTTTTACATATTGATGTCTCTGTTTCCCTGTTTTCACTGTTTTTGCTTTGATTTATTTGTGACTTCCCTATCTGGGTTGATATCTGGTTGTTCTGCCTGTGTTCTAGTCTTGGGTTGTTATCTGATATTATCGATTTTCTAACTGGAGGTCTCCCTTTAGTATTTCTTGTAATTTTGGTATGATTTTTACAAATTCCCTAAATTTCTGTTTATCTGGAAATGCCCTAATTTCACCATCATATTTGAGAGACTATTTTGCTGGATATATAATTCTTGGGTGGCAATTTTTTTCCTTCAAGGCTTTATGTATGTCATCTCATTGCGAAGCTAGGTTTTTAAAGCACTTATTTAGCACCTACATGTTTCAAACTGTTTATATAATCATCCTATGAGATAAATATTATAGCCTATCATGTCACAGTTGCAGAATGTAAGACAACTTGAATAGGCCACATTCTTATAGCTTGAAAGTGTCTAGAAATGGGATTTGAACACTAGCCTTTATTATTACAAATTCTGTAATTTTTCTACTTTTCCATTCCAAAGAAAGGTAATCTAATGGAATGTGGAAATTATCAAGCAGTATCATTAATATCACACACAAGTACAATTTTGCTGAAGATAATTCAAAATTATTGCAGCAGTACATGGACAGGGAACTGCCAGAAATTCAAGCCCGATTCAGAGGAAGATGTAGAACGAAGGGTATCGCTGCTGATATCAGATGGATCTTGGTTGAAAGCAGAGAATACCAGAAAGATGTTTATCTGTATTTTATTGACTATGCAGATGCATTCGACTGTGTGGATCCTGCAATATGCAGATGACACAGCTCTGCTTGCTGAAAGTAAAGAGGACTTGAAGCAATTACTGATGAAGATCAAATACTATACAGCCTTGAGTATGGATTATATCCCAACAAAAAGAAAACAAAAATCCTTAAAGCTTGACCAATAAACAACATCATGATAAACAGAGAAAATATTGGAGTTGTCAAGGATTTCATTTTACCTGGATCTACAATCAGTGCGCATGGAAGCAGCAGTCAAGAAATCAAACGACATACTGCATTGGGAAAATCTGCTGCCAACGACCTCTTTAAAAGGCAAAGATGTCATTTAGAGGACTAAGGTGCACCTGACCCAAGCCATGGTATTTTCAGTCACCTCGTATGCATGGGAAAACTGGACAATGAATAAGGAAAATTGAAGAAGATTTGATGCATTTGAATTACGGTGTTGGTGAAGAATATTGAATATACCATGGACTGCCAAAAAAACAAACAAATCTGTCTTGGAAGAAGTACAGCCAGAGTGCTCCTTGGGAGTGAGGATAGCAAGACTTTGTCTCATGTACTTTGGACAAATTATCAGGAGCGACTAATTCCTAGAGGAGAACATCATGCTTGGTAAAGTAGAGGGTCCATGAAAAAGAAGAAGATCCTCAACAAAATGGACACAGTGGCCGCAACAATCAGCTAAAACATAGCAATGATTATGAGGATGGCGCAGGACTTGGCAATGTTTCATTCTATTGAACATAGGGTCACTATGAGTTGGAATCGACTGGATGGCACCTAACAACAACAGAATTAACTACACATACCTTTGCATGGCATTTAAGTTCATTTTGTCCCATTTCATCCTGTAAAATTAGCCCATCATACTGCTCTAGTTAGAGCTCTTAATGGTTTTCTAGAGGTACACAATATTCTAAGGAAATTCAGCCTCTTATGAGTTTCTAAATATGCTCTACCCATTTCTGCATATGTGCCTTTGCTAGCATGCGTTCTCAGCCCGCCATCTCTTTTTCTTAAACAGCTACTGTTTACATTTCTACATCAAGAAATCTCTCCATCAAGCTATTACTGAGTCCCACAATTAGATGTGGTATCTCTGCTTTTGAATTTTTATACCAATTCTTAGTTCTAATGGCACTTACAATATTTTGCCTTATAATGGTCTCTATATTCTTGCCCAATTTTTGCCATTAGAAAGAAAACTCCTAAAGGCAGTGTATTGTCTTTGTATCTCTTGAATAGGCATTTTCAGTGAAAGAAATTTTTTGAGTTTATAAGCATTTTAAGCAAAAGAAATTTTCTGAGGTAGCTAAAGGATATTGTGATCAATGTTACAGTTTTTAAAAAAGTGAACAGGTTAACCACCTACCAGTGATTCAGGATAATCCCAAAATTTATTCTATAAATTTAATTCCCCTAAGCTTTTTTTTTTTTTTTTCCTCTCCCCCCCGCCAACCCCACCCCAATTCAGAACTTTCCAGCTGGAAGACTCTCAGGACTGTAGCAGAGATTTCGTGGAGATCCGGGAAGGAAACGCCACGGGCCACTTGGTGGGACGATACTGTGGCCACATCCTCCCCCTCAATTATTCGTCCATTGTTGGGCATATCCTGTGGGTCAGATTTGTCTCAGATGGCTCGGGCAGTGGCATTGGCTTCCAGGCCACATTTGTTAACAGTAAGTTGGTTCTCTTAGTGATAGCCTCCAGATTGTGTCTTACAAATGAGAAATGATAACAAATTTTTCATCAATGCACTAAGCATGAGCTGTCCTTCAAATGTTTCTCCTACATGTATTGTTTGTGTAGAATTACTTTTTTATAAAATATATCACAAAAATTAAATTATATATGAATGGCTCATTAAGAACAAGGAAGAGCATTCTCTATGGTTCTCTTTTTAAGCTCTAGTTTCTACCTCAGGTTGAATTAATTTTTTTTAATGATGTTTTGTTAAAGAGTCTTCTAGTACCTTGTAATTTAGGATTCGGTGTTTTTATATCAAATTTGTCCCATTTAATCCTATAGATTTATATTATTTATTCTTCAAATTAAAGATATTTAATATAATTATAAGATTGATTTACAGGTTCATATATCTTAACAATAGGTATTCTTCTAATAGCATAAAATGCTAAATTGTTTTATTTCTTATTCAATGTTTTCTATAATTAGCTATTCTATAGGTGATGCTAAACTGCCAGTTTTTCTTATCTAACAGAATTTTTAAAAAACATTCTTCACTCGTAAAACAAGGTAAACTAGGGAAACCAAAATCAGAGAATGGAGCGTTTTGGAAACTGTTTCACAGGAAAGGCATCACCTTTTTTCACACCATGCAAACTTCTGAGGATATAGAATTCCATTCACAAAATCACCCTTCTCCAAGGAACTAATAGATAGCACAGAAGCCAAAAAGGAAGCAGTGTTTCTTTCAGTGTTCAGGAAAGAAATCACAGTCAATTAAAAGTCCATCCTTTTCAGCATCCCTTGGCTTTTCTTTCTTTCATTTGATTAAAGAGCTACTCTAAGTAGGTCTGATTTACTACTCTGTTTTCTCTCCTAGTATTTGGCAATGACAATATTGTGGGAACTCATGGGAAAATTGCCTCTCCCTTATGGCCTGGAAATTACCCCCATAATTCCAATTACCAGTGGATAGTAAATGTGAATGCCTCTCAAGTTATCCATGGTAGAATCTTGGAGATGAACATCGAAGCAACACATAACTGCTATTATGACAAATTAAGGGTGAGTTTCCATATGCAATCAATGCTTGTAAATTTTGGTGAATTGCTGTTGGCAAAAATAAATCTAAGTTAATATCTACTCAAGTATTTACAAATCATGCAGAATGGTTTGGGCTAAATCATGATTACCCACTCTAGCTTGCATAAATAAATCTAATTCTGGATGTATATATATTATCTTCTACTTTATTTATTACCCTCTATCTTATTTATTAAGATTTTTTAGCACTATTGTACTTTATCTGTTAGGCTTTGTCTAAACATGAATATATATCTTAAAACCAAAAACCCATTGTTGTCAAGCCAATTCTGACTCATAGCGACCCTATAGGACAGAGTAGAATTGCCCCATAAGGTTTCCAAGGCTGAAAAACTTTTTTTTTAATTTTTTTTATTGTACTTTAAATGAAGGTTAACAGAAAAAATAGTTTCTCATTAAACAGTAAGTACACATATTGTTTTATGACATTGGTTAACAACCCCACAACATGTCAACATCTCCCTTCTTGACCTTGGAAGACCTTTTTATTTTATTTTTTTTTAGGGTAAAGATACACCATTTCAAAAATTTCTACATGTACAATTCAGTGACATCAATTACATTCTTCCAGTTATGCTGCCGTTGTCACTATCCTTTTCCAAATTATTTCATCTCCATTATCTTCAACTCACTGTCCCCTAGGCTTCCCATTAAACCTTTTGAGTTGCTGTTGTCAATCTGATCTCACGTAGATAATTCTTTTTTTTTTTTTTGTACTTTAGATGAACGTTTACAGAACAAATAGTTTCTCGTTAAACAGCTGGTAAACATATTGCCTTATGACTATGGTTAACAACCCCACAACATGTCAACACTAACCCTTCTCAAACTTGGGTTTCCTATCACCAGCTTTCCTGTTCCCTCCTGCCTTCTAGTCCTTGTCCCTGGACTTCTGTGCCACATTAGTCCCGTTTTGTTTTATGGGGCTGTCCAATCCCTGGATGAACAGTGAACCGTGGAAGTGACTTCACCACTGAGTTAAAAGGGTGTCCGGAGGCCATACTCTAGGGGTTTCTCCAGTCTCTCTCAGGCCAGTAAATCTGGTCTTTTTTTGTGAGTTGGAATTTTGTTCTATTTAGTATTTGGTACTTCTATTACTAAATAGACAATAGACAAGTGATAACTTTGGTGAAGGGTAAGAGAGTACACAATACTGGGGAAGCCAGGACAACTTGTACAAACAAAGTTCATGGAAGCTCCATAGACACATCCAAACTCCCTGAGGGACTGAATTGCTGGGAGGAGGGCTGTTCGGACCATGTCTCAGGGAACATCTAGCTCAATTGCCATAACACAGTTTATAAAGACAATGTTCTACATTCTACCTTGGTGAGTAGCATCTGGGGTCTTAAAATCCTGTGAGCAGCCATCTAAGATACTCTACTGGTCTCACCCCTTTGGGAGCAAGGGAGACTGAAGAGAACAGGATACAAGGAAAAGATTAGTCCAAAGGACTAATGGACCACAGCTACCACGGCCTCCACCAGACTGAGTCCAGTACAGCTAGATGGTGCCTGGCTACCACCACTGACTGCTCTGGCTACCACCACTGACTGCTCTGACCACAACAAAGGGTCATGAACAGAGTTGGAGAAGAATGTGGAACAAAATTCTAACACAAAAAAAAGACCAGATTTACTGGCCTGCCAGAAACTGGAGAAACCCCGAGAGTATGACCCCTGGACACCCTTTTATCTCAGTGGTGAAGTCACTCCCGAGGTTCACCATTCAGCCGGGGACTAAGGAGGCACAGAAGTCCAGGGACAAGAGCCTAGAAGGCAGGAGTGGACAGGAAAGCTGGTGACAGGGAACGCAACATTTAGAAACGACAGTGCTGACATGTCGTGGGGTTGTTAACCATTGTCATAGGGCAATATGTGTACCGTTTAACGAGATACTATTATGTTCTGTAAACATTCACTTAAAGTAGAAAAAAAAAAGAGGCATTATCTATGTGAGATCAAATTGACAACAGCAACTGAAAAGGTTTGATGGGAAGCCTAGGGAACCATGAGCTGAAGATAATGGAGATGGAATAATTTGGAAAAGGATAGTGAGAATAGCAGCACATAATCGATGTCACTGAATTGTACACGTAGAAATTTTTGAAATGGTGTATCTTTGGCTATGTATATTTTCACCAAAAAAGAAAAAAGCTCTTCCAAGGTCGAGAAGGGAGAGTGTTGACATGTTGTGGGGTTGTTCACCAATGTCATAAAACAATATGTGTACTGACTGTGTAATGAGAAACTGTTCTGTAAACCTTCACCTAAAGTACAATAAAAAAATTTTTAAAAAAGAATTTTGTTCTACATCCTTCTCCAACTCTGTCAAGGACCCTCTGTTGTGATCCCAGTCAGAGCAGTCAGTGGTGGTAGCTGGGCACCATCTAGCTGTACTGGACTCAGTCTGGTGGAAGCCTTGGTAGCTGTGGTCCATTAGTCCCTTGGACTAATCTTTTCCTTGTAACCTGCTCTCTTCATTCTCCCTTGCCCCCAAAGGGGTGAGACCAGTGGAGTATTTTAGATGGCTGCTCACAGGCTTTTAAGACCCCCAGTTGCTACTCACCAAGGTAGAATGTAGAACATTGTCTTTATGAACTGTGTTATGGCAATTGAGCTAGATGTTCCCCGAGACCATGGTGCTCATAGCCCTCCACCCAGCAATTCAGTCCCTCAGGGAGTTTGGATGTGTCTATGGAGCTTCCATGAACTTTCCTTGTACAAGTTGCCCTGGCTTCCCCAGTATTATGTACTGTCTTACCCTTCACCAAAGTTACCACTTATCTATTGTCTATTTAGTTCCCTTCCCTCCCATCCCTCATAACCAAAAAAGATTTTTTATTTTTATTGTACTTCAGGTGAAGGCTTACAGAACAAATGGTTTCTCATGAAACAGTAGTACACGTATTGTTTTATGACATTGGTTAAAAGATTGTTTCTTTTTGTGTGTAAATTTTTACATGAGTTTTTACAGTACAGGTCTCATACAATATTTGTCCTTTTATGATTGACTTATTTCACTCAGCATAATGTCCTCCAGTTTCATCCATGTTATGAGATGCTTCACAGATTCATCATTATTCTTTATCATTGCATAATACTCCATTGTGTGTATGTACCATAGTTTGTTTATCCATTCGTCTGTTGATGGGCATCTAGGTTGTTTCCATCTTTTTGCTATTGTGAACAATGCTGCAATGAACATGTGTATGCATATGTCTGTTCGTGTGATGGCTCTTATTTCTCTAAGATATATTCCTAGGAGTGGGATTGCTGGATTGTGTGGTATTTCTATTTCTAGCTTTCTAAGGAAGCACCATATCATTTTCCAAAATGGTTGTATCATTTTGCATTCCTACCAGCAGGGAGTAAGAGTTCTGATCCCCCCGCAGCCTCTCCAACATTTGTTAAGTGTTTTTGATTCGTGCCAGTAATGCCGGGGTGAGATGGTATCTCATTGTGGTTTCAGTTTGCATTTCTCTAATGGCTAGTTATCGCAAGCATTTCCTCATATGTCTGTCAGCCACTTGAATGTCTTCTTTGGTGAAGTGTCTGTTCATTTTCTTTGCCCATTTTTTAATTGGATTATTTGCCTTTTTGTTGTTGAGGTGTTGGATTTTCTTGTAGATTTTAGAGATTAGACCTTTATTTGAATTGTAATGTCCAAAAAACTTTTCCCAGTCTGTAGGTTCTCTTTTTACTCTTTTGGTGAAGTCTTTTGAGGAGTATAAGTATTTAATTTTTAGAAGATCCCAGTTATCTAGCTTATCTGCTGGAGTTTGTGTGTTGTTGGTTATGGTTTGTATCCTGTTAATGGCATGCATTAGGGCCTCTAGCATAGATCCTATTTTTTCTTCTGTGATCTTTGTAGTCTTTGGCTTTATATTTAGTCCTTTGATCCATTTTGAATTAGTTTTTGTGTATGGTGTGAGGTATGGTTCCTGTTTCATTT